TTTATTTACCTGCTTTAGCTTTCAAAGAACAATACCAACAATATCAGCCCTGATAATATTTTCAACCTGAGACATGTCCCGACAGGTTCTAATTGGTCAACTAACTATTAAACTTAATATTGATGATTAAAAAGATGAAAGCTTAAGTATGTATTTGTTATGGATTATTGCCGGGTTGACTTTCAGAAACCAGACATAAAAACTTTGAAAAACAGAAAATTGATGGGCATTATAACACTGGTATTTTCAAATTTCCTAGAATCAACCAAATGAAGAATCACAGCAGGAAATCAGACTATCTGGTTATGTAATGCTAATATAATTAAGAAAATAAGATGAATTATTTATTCATGTTAGAAATGTTAGATTTCTATGTTAGAAATGTAGAAATGTTAGAAATGTTAGAAAAAGTAAGCTAAGTTTAATTAACAAGCCTGCTTTGGAAAGCTGTATTCAAATCAAATGCCAGTATCATGTCAGCCACAAGAAAGCATCCCAGTTAACTTCCTCTTCTTTCACTAATTTACAGAAGAGCTACAAAGGGGAACTGATTTATTCTAGGACACAGTAGAAGTACATGGAGAAGTCAACCTATCTCTGCTGAACAGTGTTTCTGCACTCCTGTGGACATTTAGAAGCAATTATCTCTGTGCTTCTAATAAAAATTGTTACCTAGCTCCAATACCAAACTGTGTGGAGGGCTGGAATAGGTAAAGGTGGGATCCTGTGGTCCATGTGGGATCTGCTGAACACTTGTTCCCCAGTCAGTAGCACTGTTTCAGAGTACTGTGAAACCTTTTGGAAGTAGAGCCTTGATGGAAGAAGTGGCCACTTGGGTTCACTTTCTACTTCCCAAGTGTGTATGAATGCAATGTAAGCTGCCAAGCCTCCCCAGCCTGCTGTATGATGAACTGTATTCCTCCGAAACCATACCCAAATAAGCCTTTTCTCCCTTAATATGTCTTTACCAGGTTATTTTATCACAGCAAGAGGGGAAAAAGAGAGAATGAAGATGGGGTGTAAAGCACATAATGTTTAATACTCTTACATATCAGTTACCCTGAGATACTAGAACACCTGGCACTGTGTTACCACTGTCTTTTCTTACCTAGAACAAATTCTAACATGCTGTAAGTTTATTTAGCTAACTTTATGTAGATATACCTCATACCTAGCAGAGAGGGCTATGGGAGAGCACTCAGTTTGCTGACTAATCCCTAGTTGTAAGCACTGTAGATGAAGTTTTTCAATGGGACCACTAGTCAGTTCTGTCCCATCAGCTAGCTCCCAAATAACCACACAGAGTAATTATTATATTTTAATTAATTAATTGTATTAATTATAAATGCTTGGCTGATAGCTTAAGTTTGTTTTTAGCTATCTCATAATTTAAATTAATCCATTTCTATTAATCTATTTGCTGCTTCAAGGCTCATTTCCCTCAAGTATGTACTTCCCATCCTTCTCACTCTGCATCTCATAGCATTAACTCTACCCTTCTTCTCCCCAGCATTCTCTCTGCCTCGAAAATCCTGCCTAGCTACTGGACATTTAGCTTTTCTATTAAACCAATCACAGTGACACATAATATTTTGTCCATTCTGGGACAGAACATTATGGACCTTGGAACTTGATATAGCACAGGAATTATGTTAATCTTTCCACACAAACCCCTTGTCCTGTAAAGTCAATTGTTTTGATATAATGACTAAACTATTCAGTGGTATATTTGTAATTTTGTAAAGAGCTCTAGGGCCGGGGCTGGAGAGCTAGCTCAGTTGTCAAGAACCTTGTTGCTCTTACAGAGGACCTGGTTTGGCTCATCACCCACATGGTGGCTCAGAGTCATCTCTAACTCCAGGATCAGGGGGTCTGATGCCCTCTTCTGACCAAGGCACATGGTGCACACACATACATGGAAGTAAAACACTCATATATATTTAAAAAAACTAAAATAAGTTAAAAAGAATAGGACCATACTGTATACCTTAAATATATAAAATATGGCTTCATTTATAGTATATTGGCTGCTTACCACACACACACACACACACACACACACACACACACACACACACACACTTCTATGTGCTTACCAATAAAGAAATGTAAGCTATTAAAATTCTAGTGATACCATTATTGCCTTGAATATTCTATTAGTTGCTTGTCTCCTTGTGACAAAGCTGCTTATTTTGGCTCATCATTCAAGGGCACAGTCCACCATGGCATGAGAAACTTGGCAGCAGGGTATTAAGGCAACCATCACATTGCATCCACAACTAGGAAACAGAAGGCAACAGATGCTTGTGATGGTTCGGCTTTCTCCTTTTTATCCAGTCAAAGTTCCAGCTCATGAAATGGTACCATCCACATTCAGGGTGAGTCTTCCCATTTAATTATTTCATCATCTAATCTAGATAATCTCATACAGCTGCACCCAGGGAATTGTCTCCAGGGTGAGTCTAAATCTCATTGGATTGACAATCAAAATTAACTATCACAGATACTCCTTGCTGGTTTCAGGCTTTCCTCCATCAATTGTCTTGTTTCTAACCTATCACTCCAGATTCACAACCCAATTTCCTCTGTTCTTGAAACTCTGTCTGCTAGGAAACTAGATGCCTGTTCTGAGGGCTTTGTTAGGAACAATGAGTCTGGCTTTCTGCATGTTGACTTTAATATGTCTTGCCATGGTCTTGTAGCTCAACCTCTGGTTCTGATCTGCCAAAGGCATCTGAATATATAGTCTACGCACAGGAAAAGTTAAAATAAATATTGGGTGTATTTTCTTAAACATACTTCTACAAACCATTTTCTCAAATTCTGTATCTTAAAATAATCATAATAAATTCCTTGTTTTCAAAGTGGTGTACATCAGAGCTACTTATGGAGCTTCATAAAAATGCATATATTCAAGTTCTGTCCCTGGAAGCTATACTTCAGATGGACACAGGCAGTTCTCCAGCATCCTGTAGTGACAAATTTGATTCAGCCATATAGTCAGAGTGAAGAAGCACTGTTACAAAAACTGCAGGAATGACTATCTCATTTCCTTTTCCTACACTGAGGATATGGTAGGAAAATTAATATGTAATATGGCAAAAGGTGAAGGTATCTACCTGGCTCCCAAATCCAGCTGGTTTTGTACAGAAGACAAAGAACAGTCCAGACGACACTGAAACACAAACCAAGTTTGTTGTGCTTACTACTCACTTTTGTACACTTTCTCTTTTTTCCTGGGTGTGTTTTCCTGATGTTCAGACTGTTGTAGTTACTCACGCTGCATATATCTGCACCCATTTCAAACATCAATCAGACCACTGTCCTCCCATTTATACTCTGCTTTACTGACAAACAGAACTCCCAACTCTCTGTTCATTTCAGGTATATATGAAAAATAGGTGACACTAAGACATAAGTACATATTTTACCTAACCAAAGCTTATTACTACCCATCTGATAAAGCAAGGATTCCCTATAGATAAGATACTCTTCACAGGAAGGTCTTCCCATGTATTAACAAAGCCCACAGTGAGATAAAATGAGAGTGTGGCTATCGGTATCTGAGGACAAATTTTCACAATTCTTCTTTTTCTCTATCTTAGGACCTCAAATGTCAATAAACTCATTGAACAATGGTAACTTCCCCTGTTGGTTTTTGTCATGGCAATCGAAAAGTAACTCAGACATGAGGAAAAAAGGAGAATCAATACATGCATGAGTATACCAGCTGTTCAGTTCTTTCAGGCTCTTCCAGTGCCTCTCTAACATGTGTCTTAGTCAGCGTTCTATTGCTGTGAAGGGACACCATAACTGTGGCAACTCTAATAAAGGAAAACATTTAATTGGGGCTGGCTTACAGTTTCAGATGTTTACAGTTATCAGCACGGCAGGAAGCAGGGCAGAATGTAGGCAGACAGTGTGCTAGAGAGGCATCTGTGAGTTGTACATCTGGATCTACAGACAGCAGGGACTCTGGACCTGGCTTGAGCATTTGAAACCTCAAAGCCCACCCCCAGAGATACCCTTCCTCCAACAAGACCACATCTACTTCAACAAAGCCACACCTCATTCCTGTCAAGCAGTGCCACTCCCTAATGACCAAGCATTCAAATTTATGAGCCTGTGGGATCATTCTTTTTCAAACCACCACAATTTCCTATTCAAACTTAATTTAATCAAAATACTACCACATATAAGAGAACTGCTACTATTAATAGCCTAAAAACTATTTTGAAACAAATTTGAAACAGCAGTTTTGAATCTTAGAGAGATTTATCATATAAAATGCACCAAGCAAATGCTATATTTGAAGCTGCCAACACATTTTTCATTTTTCTCTGCAGAGTCCAGAGAGCACAAATTGAATAAAACAACAGTACTAAGTCTTTCTAGGCTCACAGAAAAATAAGTATGCTATTTTTTTCATTTCACAAAGAAATATTAATTCTTCAGACATGGAGAAAACTTTGGAAATGAGAATAAATTTTGTACTTATGAAAATAACAGTTTTATTATCACAATCAAAGCAAAACCTACAAGTATTTATAAACATTGGTCCTACAAAAATATACATCATATACTTGTGAAATTTCAGGTATTTGCAAATTTTTAGTTCTCAATAAGCCCATTTTATGGCAAAGAAATGATAATAATATATAAAAGTAATATTGTAACTAATTTCTTTAATACTACTAGTGTTAAATTTGCAAGAAAATTAGATGTTATCTCAAATGCTAATCCAAGTCACAGTAATGGCTGGCATGGTGCCACAAGCTTCTAATTCCAGCACTCAGAAGGCAGAGGCAGATGGATCGTTGAGTTCATGGCCAGCCTGGTCTTTATAGTGAGCCCCAGGACATCTAGGACTACACAATGAGATGCTTTCTTAACAAGAAAATAAGACAAATCAGTCAAGACACAATAATGGCCAAAAGAGAAATAGAAAGTAGCTACAATAATTGAAATACATAAGAATTATGACACAGAATGCTTACTACCTTTAGTCTGGTTTTCAAATTCCTCAGATAAAAGATGGTAGCAACAACCCACAGAGCAAACTCCCTTGACTTCAGACTTGGATGCAAATATCCGCAGAGTATTTGGTGCAAGGTCACCACAAGTATGGAGACCCACCATTAAACAGTCCTTTAGAGACAAGAAAATTAAAACAATGACAATTAATAGGAGAGTTAAAAACTATACAAGTCAAGTTTTTAAGTATGTTTTCAAATATGTGAAGCTTTTAAGTGGTCAGTTCTATATAAAATTTTACACATCATTTTATATTCAAAATAAATAATTGTTCCTTTTAGCCAAAATGGCCATACTTTCCTAGAACTTCTGCTTTGTTTTTAATTCTTCATTTGTATTTCTTCTCATCTCTTTTACAACTAATGTTTGCTTTACAGCTAGACACTGCATATTAAAGGCTAAGGTTGGATAAAAAATGCAGCTACTCCATAAGTCTGACATTTTTGATGTTTATATGATACTATGACTATACTAGTCTTATTTCCTTTATTGATTGAACTTATTCAGGCTGCTTACCTTATAAAACATGGTTATGAGAAACAGAAAAGGTATAAACTTATCATTTCTAACATAATGCCAATATGTTTATTTACTGATCATTTAACAAAATAAAAATCTAGATATCTATTTTTCTCTCAATTTTCTAACATGAATTTTACATAAAAATTGTCTTACAAAATGCTTTTTCCAATTACTCCAGTCCTAATTTAAATGTACTCACATGAAATTGAGCACAAATATATATTATATGCATAGAATCTTGTCAATCTACCAAGCATCTCATAGTTGTATTTATTATTACTTTGTCTAACATGAATCATAAAATTGAATTAAAGAGGAGCAAATTGGACATTTCATGTGGACAATTTGCATCCATATACTTTTACCATTTGGAGTTGATGACTTTTAGGGAAGTTGTACTATCTTTTAAAGTTTGAAGAAGCTACCCGTCAACACAGACATTACATGGGTCACATTATTATTACATTTATGATAGAAATATACTTATAGCAATTTCTCAGGCTTTCTTCACAATAACATTTTTTAATGTTTTCTTTTTTATAAATTTTTATTTAAATTAGAAATAATCTTATTTTACATCACAATCCCAGTCCCCGCTCACAACATTTTTAAAAAGTCACCTCTCAATGCTGTGCTAAGAATTATTCATCCAACAACTCAATTTTTATAGTACCAATTAGAATTAATTTTAAAGGCACAGTGGTAATGAGACTATAGTGACTCTCAGGAGGCTGAGGCAAGACTTTCTCATGAGTTTGAGGCTAGTCTGGGCTACATAATGGAATTATACACTAGCCAGGCTTACATAGCAAGACTCTATCCCAAAACAAAACAAATACTGATGATACTGTTTAAGAGAACCAAAGAACTGGATAATTATCAATAAGTCTAATACAAATGAAGTAATATCACTAAGAACATAAACTTGAGAAATAGGTAGCTGGCTTTAGGGTCTAATTTGTTACTAATGTAATTTTGCAAATTTATTCAACTTTTAAGTTTATTGCAGACTCCTTATAATATACGTAGCCCAGGCTGTCCTTGAATTCAGGGCCCTCCTGCTTCAGTCTTTGGGCTGTCTACAGGTGTGCGACACCATGCTCAGGTTGCTCAGCTCTAATAATAGAATCTCAAGACTATTTTGAAAAATTGAAGTGACAAAATACCCTAAAATTTTTAATTTTACCAGATAACCTAATTACTGTTTTTTTTAAATTTGGGAGGACTAATGTTTCCTTTAACTGGTACCTTTTATGGGTATCTGGCAGGAGGGAAGGCATTGGAGAGATGGCTCATTGGTTAAGAGCATGTACTACTCTTGCAGCGAACCCACGTCTGGTTCTCAATGTGCAGGCTGGTGCCATCCCCGCCTATAACTCTAGATCCACGGCATCTACCCTCTCTTCTGGCCTATGCAGTTGCTGCACTAACATGCACAAAGCCACATAGAGACACATACATATACACATAATTTAAAAATAAGAATAATATCTTTTAAAAAATCTCTGTGGGGGGAAAACCCCTCTTTGTAAAAATCATAGAAAACAAAGATTTAAATGTATAAAGAATTCTGGTACTTTGTTTAGCCATTTCTTTTGGGAAGATTTTTAAAAATTAAGAAAGATAGAATAATATTAACTTCAAGAGATACTCTGTCTTATGAAAGAGTCAGAATCTGTAGAAGCTTCTGTAAATACTGTTTTAACATATAAGAGCATATTTAAGGCACGTTGTCTTTCAATTATGTAACTTGAAAACTTAGAAAGCATTAAAGCCTTAAAGAATCCTCATAGGCTCTTTTTGCTCTAGGAAACTGCATGTCTGTCAACATAGTTATGCCAATTACCTCTTTATTCGTTCTCACCGCCCTGATCGGGTCATCACGTGTGGATGCATGAAAACGTGTTGCACTTCATGAACATCTACAATTACTATAAGTGTCAATTTAAAAATAGTAAAAGTTATTATGAAAACACATAAACTTCTTGGACTAGAATTTTAACAATCTCTAAACTGTAGATAATGATAATTTATTTGGCTTACTGACTAGCATTTGCGCTAGCTCTTCTATTTTGTATTATACAGTATGTCCTCATTAAATTTTGACAGTTGTGGGGACAAGGAAAACCAGCTTAGGACTTTATTCTTGATCTTTAGGATTGATGTGTCAGATAACATCACATTAATACAATAAGGAACTATTTAAAGTGTATTCCATGTTGATAGTATTCTCGCAAACCAGAGGATTCAAAAGCAGACCCACCTCCAGATCTTTAATAATGTCATGTAATTCTGAATCAGCAGTGATAAAAGAGGTCAGTGGTGAATATATACTTGAGTCACTTGGTTTGGTTGCCATATTTCTTCTCTGTTTCCTCACTTCAGATATTTCTGTATTGTGCACCTGAGATGAAGTAGGTTCGATGGCATCAATAGGCAAAAAATCCATGAGAGAAAAGGTATTTTCAAAATACAATTTCTCTTCTTCAAGTGGCTGAGCATGTAGATCTCCTAGCTGTTTTCTGATGGCTGAAACTTTGGACTCTGAAAACTCTGGCAAAACACTGGTAGACATGTCTTGATTGCCAAGACTGCTCTTTGGTACACTCTCAAAATCTCCCTTACACTTAACTTCCTTTTGAGCTCCAATTTCTTTCGGCATTTTTAATGCCAGTCCATTGACATCTACTCTTGTCTGCCGATGATTCAGGTTCCAGTGCTTCTTCAATTTTCTGTTTCTTTCCTTAGCTCCATGAGTATTAGTATTTGAGGAATCGATGCCATAGACATTTAGACCATATTTTAAGGACAAAAAGGAGCTTAGGTAGCCTTTACCAGAACCCACGTCAATTATCTGAGAAAAGAAAAAAATAATGAATTCAGGATTTTCATCAGTTGGTAATAGTAATATTCCAGATATGTAATCTTTTATGTGTGTTATTTTAATGTTTAATTTCTATAAGAATAGGCAACACAGCAGCAATGACCATTTTGAAAAAAAAGTTTTAAAACAAGACTGTAGTTGTACTCATCTCTCTGTACTACCTGTACTACCCATCCTGATTCCTCCTCATCTGGCTGGCGACTCCACTTGTCTTCTTCCCAGAGTTCTCTCTCTCTGCCCAGAAGTCCCATGTACACCTCCTGCCTAGCTACTGGCTCTTCAGCTTTTTATTACACCAATCACAGCAATACATCTTCACACAGTGTACAAATATCCCAAAACATCCCCCCCCTTTTATCTAAATAAAAGGGAAGGTTTTTAACTTCAATACAGTGAAGCTATACAATCTGGAAGCTGAATGCTCACATTTCATTCATACACAGGAAGCAGAATAAGGGAGAAAAAAGGAAGTGGGGCCAGGCTACAAAGCTCAAATTCATCCCCAGTGACATAGTTGCTCCAGCAAGGCTCCAGCTCCCAAAGATTCCATAACCTCCACAAACAGCACCCCCAACTCAGGACCAAGTGTTCAGATACATGAGCCTATGGGTGGCATCTTACATTCAAACCACAACACTGGTTTACATAGTTATTTCATATAAACACAAATGTATAAAGTTATGAGGACAAGAATACAGTAAATAGCCTTCACCTTATTCTAGTTTGGTATAGCTTAGTGGCAGACCTTTCAATGAAGAATTATGTACTGTGAATGTGATCTCTTTGGCAAGTGAAATGAACACTGAGCAGAAATCAAAAAGAGGGGACAGGGTGGAGAACAACAGTCCAATAAGAAGTAAAAGTAGAAAATGAAATCTGAGAGGTACTAAAAATGGGTAGTACTTAAAAGGAAATACTCTTACCTGCTTTAAACCACAGTAATCAGCAATACTGCAGATTAGCTCTGACATTTCCTGAACCTCATGAGATTTTTTTGTATTCATAAACTCAATTGCCTTCACATTTTCACCTGAATGTAAATAAAGATAATTAATATACTTCTACTAAAAAGAATTTTAATGAGTTGTCACAGCTTTTTAAATCAATATGAAAGTGGCATAAAGTCTATTGTGTTATCTGTTCGATTTCTGTTAATTTAAAAGTTATGATTTCGATTAAATAAGATAAAAATATCCACAGATAATTAAAATCATTCCTTGATATAAAAAGTAGTTATCTATAAATGAAAAAAAACTTTACTACAAAATAAGTTTCTTCAGAGAACAGTTTTAACAAAGTAAAAAGATAAGCAAGAAAGTGAAAATAGACACTTCTATACACACACATGAAAATAAAACCAACTCCTATACACCAATAAGAAAAATATTGCCTAATACAAGAGCAGACAAATGAGCAAATTAAACTTCCAAGCTATACTAGGCACATTTGAAGAGCTTAATACCCACATATGGCTATTTTCTACTATATAGTGTGTAACAACAGAGCACATTCTATAACATAGCACTTTACAGTACACACTACATTTGATGGAATATATTTGATGGTATTCAGCATAATCAGACATGTGGGAATTGGGTGTGGCAAGTTGAAATTTAGGGCTGGGCTAGAAATAAATAAATCTATTAAGGCATGGCAGTGTTGACATTTGACATGCCTGCTTATAGGCCAACCCTCTTTCCTCTTCAATGGGAAAATGTAAAAACCTTGCTAATAAGGTCTTTCCAGGAGTACATGGTTATTACACAGTGGCATTCTTGAGACTGATACCAGTCCAGAAAACAAATAAACTGACATACTCCAGGACGGGGAGTAGATTCCCTCTGAACACAGCTGTCACTAACTTTTCTTCTTCTTCTTCTTCTTCTTCTTCTTCTTCTTCTTCTTCTTCTTCTTCTTCTTCTTCTTCTTCTTCTTCTTCTTATTTATTTATTTATTTGGTTTTTTGAGACAGGGTTTCTCTGTGGCTTTGGAGGCTGTCCTGGAACTAGCTCTTATAGACCAGGCTGGTCTCGAACTCACAGAGATCCACCTGCTTCTGGCTCCCGAGTACTGGGACTAAAGGCGTGAGCCACCAACTCCCGGCTGCTGTCACTAACTTGTATCCCTATACTTCAAAGTCAATTTTCTTTTACTGGCATAAGACAACATCCATCTAGATCTTGGTAATGGTTTCATTTTTTTTTTTTTTTTTTGGTTTGGTTTTTCGAGACAGGGTTTCTCTGTATAGCTTTGGAGCCTATCCTGGCACTTGCTCTGGAGACCAGGCTTGCCTCAAACTCACAGAGATCCACTTGCCTCTGCCTCCCGAGTGCTGGGATTAAAGGCGTGCACCACCAACGCCTGGCGGTTTCTTGTTTGTATATGCTATTCTTGCTCTGATACCCAACATATAGTTCTTACGTTTTAGAAGGCAGAAGGCCAGGTTTCACTCAACTGTGGCCAGTTAGAAACAGCTTGGATGATGTACTTAGTGTTTTGATTACAATGCCAATAGCCATGTTGCTGATGAACACAATTACAGCCAGAATGCCCTTACCCAGAGTCACGATTTCCTAAAATTCTTTATTTTGCTCCAGGAGGAACATAATAAGGTAATTTTCATTAAAATACTTAGAGATAAAGGAAAAAAACAATAATAAGGAGAAAATTGGACTAAAAAGGGGATAAGCTCCTTTTGCAATAAAGGGCTTCTGAGGATCCACTTTTGCCAGCCAACACTAAGCACTAGTAATAGGAAAAAAATTGCATTGCCTCTTAGTGAGGTGCATGAGGAAAAAGTACTTTAATTAGCATCTTGCTTAAAATGTAAGGCTGGACTTAATCAAGCAAACCTTCTTGAAAGCATCAATGTATCAATGTTAGGAAAAAACAAGACAAATGAGAAAATTCTGGGTCCATTGTCTGACACCCATGGCAGCTCATCACTGTTCAAAACTAGAGGCCCTCTTCTGACCTCTGTGTGCACCAGGCACACACATGTAATGCACACATGCATGTAAGCAAAGCGCTCATACACATAAATCTACAAAAAGTCTAGGAAAAAGGAAGCTATAAGTAATTTCAGCAACACTGAAACAAAGTTGAATACAGTCTGCTTATTAGATGATGTTACTAAAGCCAAGTTAAAGTCCCAAATGAATCAACATGATACAGGATAAGTAGGAATATATACTGGTTCTTATGGATACATACTAAAATTCTTGCAGATAATTCCATATCTGTGACTAATGGTCAAAGGATCCAGATTTTTAAAAACTATGTATGTGTGTGGGGTGGTGCTTACAGCAAATAAGACTTTAACATGGCAAATTTAGGTCAAAGGTATCCAGGATTCACTGTAGTATCCAAGCAGTGTTTCTGTAAGTTTAGAGCTTTCTTAAAAAACAAAAAAGAGTTGGTGAAACAATGAAGGTCAAATGAGATAACAGATAGTAAGGACCTTGGTAAACAATAAATTAGGTCATGTGTTCCCTATTTTATCATTAATGTAATTATTATTAACCCATTGGCTCTACTATTAAAGCTGATTCCTCGACTTGGAACACAGTCAGTTTTTATATTTTTGGTTGTGAGCCTAGCCTTTAACGGCTGAGCCCCATGGTCAGTTTTTAAAACTTCAGTTTCCTCATCGCTACCATCTAACTGGGGTGTCTAATTGGCATTTAACATAACTATGGATATGACTTTTAATCTATCTTGCTACTTGATTTTAATTTGGGTTGTCCCCACTTTCGTATACTTATGTCTCCCCCATTTTCCCAGCAACTACCATCCACATTACTCATATTCTTCCCCCCCAAAAAAAACCCATCCACAGAACCATTATCCAACTGCAATAAAAACTAATGCAAGGATTTTGAAATCTGTAGTAGCACAATACATATGCGCTTGAGAGTTTGAAACTAACTGTGAAAAAGCATAGAGATGTGCATGTGTCCTTAATATGGGCTAAGACAACCTGTTCTTCTCAGTATGACTAAACATATCAGGGCTTGGAATTTGTCAAACTCACACATACCAGTCCTCTGTTCTTTATTTAGCCGGAGGGCTGTAAGTAACTGCTCAATAGGAGTACACAGCCCCAAGCTTTGCACAGAGTAGTGTCTGGCGGCCACAACAAAGGCTTCCGTGCTCAACAGCTTCTGAGATCTTTCACAAAATACTCTGGGGAGATCAATAAAACCTGAAAATCGGACGGAAAAAGAAAATGAGCAGCAATTAATATCTAAACAGTTTGCAATTTTAAAACAGCATTGGCACCATGGTAAAGTTGAAGCAACTTACAAGATTTTAACTTTAGATTTTGGCAATATCTCTAATATAGCTCCTTGTTATTTAAACTATTGGCCTCTGTAAAACCTGGTTTTAGCATTTTCTCCAATCATGTCTTGAAAGAGCAAATTATGCTTGGTCTTTATGTTTTCCAGGAGTAACAGCAGTAGGAGTTTTCAGTCTGCAGAGTAATGTAGTTGTTTAACCATGAGCTGTCTTTTCTGACCTACAATTGTGTGTTTCAAGTCTCTGCAGCACTGTTATCCCTGTATTGCAGTCTTACCCTTCTTTGCCACTGGTAAGGAACAATTTATTTCTAAGGTTTTCATTCCAATTTGTCCATAGCAGTTCATAGACCTCAATGGATAAAGCAGTCCAAGTGAGCCCATTCACCTAAGGGTGTTTTTAAAAGCTAAATCAACACGTAATAAAAATAAAAGAAGCTCACAAAACCAACAAATCTGGTTGTTAAACAAAGTCTATGGAGCAGTCACTTAGGGGATGAACACAATCTAGGGAACAACTTGGGACTCTACCAAAACCAGACAAACATCATAACATACATGCCATGACAACTTGTCTAGCACAGATGACACTCATAACTACTTTTTAAAATAGCAATCTAAACACAAAACTGTTGCTCTCTGAAAAAACTTGAAAACAGTGTAACTGATGAATATCTTCAAATCCCAACTAAAATTATATACTTCCACTCATAGTTTTTTTTTAAAATAGCATCTCTTAAGTTGGAGGTATAATGTGTGCTAAATTTATTAAACAGAAAATAGCAGAGATGTGTGACTTCAACTTTTGAATCAATTAAATAGAAAATAAAACCACAAGGTTACCATAGTGAATTTATTTAATATAGATTTTAGGAAATTTTACAAGCTGAATTTACTGATGCAGCCAAAAGTAATAAAAATCTACATCAAAATATTTAGACATGATGCAGGAGGGAAAACTCAGTCAACTATTAAGTGAGACTTCCAGGTTTAAGAGCAGTCTGAACATCTGAAGGTTCCAGGGGAACAGTTTCTTAGAGTGTGATAGAATAAAAGAATGAAATCACAGTGAGCAGAGAGGCCATTATATCGGCCAGTTATTGGGCAATGTTGTCAACAGAAAGAAATGTGATGTTTCTGTTGGAAAAGTAAGTGTCTGAATCAACATAGCTATCCTATTGAAAATTCCTGAATATATTCCAATTTGACTTGAACTAAACACTATTAATTTGCTTTTAATTACAAGCACTCCAGAAATTTGGGGTACTGGAGGCCTAAGTTAAAATGATAATACATTTTCAGCAATATTCAATTTTTTAAAGGACTACATATTGTGTGATTCCATCTCATAATTTATTTCTTTAGAGTTAAAAGCAGTTTATTTAGTCTAGAGTTCCACAATTAATTGTTTTTTTGATCACAGAAATACAGCTGAGGTTATTTTTTTCCGAGTGATTCAGTCTATAACAGCCACAATTTGCTGCTTTCAGAGACTCACAGAGAACGAGAAGGGCCAATGATCTTGTCTTCCCTTTCTTCTGTGATCTGGCATGTGAGAACGCCAATGGCCAGGTTCAGATCCTCGGAGTGCCCTGTGTCTGCATAAGAAGTTTGTGATTGGCAGCCAGTAGCACAGAAGCCACAGTGCCATTGAGTTTTAGTTGCTTCTTAGTTGGGTGCAAATATTCTTCCCCACAGAGAAAGTTGCTGCATTTTTTTTAAAATCTGCTGCCTGCTCCACCTGCATATTCTGCAGCTTGATTGCTTGCCTACACCTCCCTCTAGTGGAAGGTCCTTATCTTCCTCCAGTGTCTGCTGTCTTTGTCTTTTTTGTATGACCTACATCACTATCCCAAGGCAGTTTCTTTTGAGAGAGGCCAGTATGGGAAACAGATTAGCTGGAAAGCTGGTGGGCTGGCTCAGTGGGTAAAGGTGCTTGCTGCCCATTCTCCCCATGGAGTCTGTCCACACGTGGAAGGCTAGAACCGACTCCTGCCAGATGTTCTCTGACCTCCACAGACCACAGAAGTACACTACACATGCATCTATACTAACAAATCATACATCATACACACAGCAATAACTAAACATAGAATTTAAAAATAACAACAAACTAGGAAACAAGATGGGAAAGAAGCAGTAGCGGTTATTTTCAATAAACACGACACCAAGATACCTCTAACCCGCTTTTAATTTAGCTACCAGATATCAGTGTGCACAGGAAAACAAAAGAGTCAAATACAGACTGTAAGAATCTTCAAGAAAAAAATGTATAAAGTTTTAAAACCAGAAATAAAACCAATGAATGTATATTCATAATGTATATCCAAGCTACTTACCTGTTATTGTACCTGAGTGTCCTATAAAAATTTAAGGAAGATGAGCTCCATCAGGTTTCACTAACCCACTGCTCCACTGCTAACAGGTACTGCACTTTAATACCACATGCCATGCACGGCATTAGACACTTTACCTGTTATACGAGCAAGTTAATTGTTGCTCTTATCTCATTTGCAGAGGAAACTCCTAAGACTTGACAAGACTGTAACTGATTCAAGTGTGCGCACACTAAGTGTCAGGGCAAAAAAGCTGTGGCAGTCTGACTTTCCACTCTGCTCTTAATCCTCATGTTCCACTGGCATGCCACAGCAAGCAAAGTAACAGTGGGCCTTGAAGGACCTTACTATCAAAATCAAGCGACTTCTCTGCAGAGAGCCATCTATAGCCATAAGTTATTACACATTTTCCTTTTCTTTGTAACTACTTTCATTACTCCTCTTAGCATCTCCCTCTCCGCTAGAAGCCATCTTGCTTCCAGAAATTGAAACACAATTTGGGTATCTGAAATAATAAATGTCTCTGAAAAGAAAGCAAATAATTGGGTAAGATTTCCTGTGGTGATATCTACTCCTAGAAACAAATACCACTGTTGTATGTTCAGTTGTAAAGCAAAAGTACTTTGCACACAACATGAATGATGGATGATGGATGGATGCATGCATGCATGAACGACAGCATATTTCAGTGCACTTACTATTGTAGCATCATCAACTACGGAATTCTAAGACTCCGTTGTGGCTGTAATCACTGAGGTCACTATGAGGACTTCAATAGCACCACTGAGCCTGTTAGGGAAGCATAAAACCTCATTTCAGCCTGAATACTTACAATCTTAGGGTGAGACAAGAGTGACTTAGATCATACAGAATACAATATGAGATACAAGTATGTACTAAGTTGCAGACATAACTTTGTTATAGGGTTCAATATTGACAGCAGCTCCTTCCTGATGATTATCTTCACGAGGATATAAAACTATTTTGTGTTTGCTTCTACAAACATTCTTATTCCTGACCCATCTTACTCTTTTCCTGTTTCCTTTGTGGGTTCCTTTAGTTCATGTGTCCAACCAGTCATCTATGCTGACATAAAATTTGTCTTTCATTTGGAAACCCTCCCCATCACAGCAATGGATCAAATCCCATTAATTCCAGCACTATCACAAAAGCCTCATGGCATGTTCCTTTCGGATAAAAAGTACAATTTCCCCCAAGTATTTGATGAGTTGAGCATGTATCTCTAAAAAGGAAATTAATTTTTTGTTTAATGCAATTTTAATAGAAGTTTTTTGTTTTGATCTTTTTGTGTGTGTGGTGTTTTTTTTTTTTTTTTTGGGAGACAGGGTTTCTCTGTGGCTTTGGAGGCTGTCCTGGAACCAGCTCTTGTAGACCAGGCTGGCCTCGAACTCACAGAGATCCACCTGCCTCTACCTCCTGAGTGCTGGGACTAAGGAGTGCGCCATGACCGCCTGGCTGCTAGAAGTTTTTAAGGCTTTTATTTTTGTAATAGTTGACTGTTGGGTTACATCTTTGTTAATTGATAGCCAAAAGTTAAGTCTGTCTTCCTAAACTTTGGAAACTAAAAGATGGATTGTGTGAAATTCTACAAACTTTGAATCTATCCAACTATAATGTACCAAGAGAACAAAAACAATACATATTGTTGCTTTTAAAATGAATCAATTATATGATCCAATTATGTGGTAGGATTTTTTTTTTGCCTAAGCAACTCTAGCTTAATTTATAATTGCATATAAAATGAAAAAAACATTACTTAAACAGGCAAATCATGTTTTTGGATGAATAACACATATTAACAAGGACTGACATGCAGGTCCTTACCATACCAATATTAACACCAGAATGAATACATAAATATAGTCAATCACTCCAAAAGCATTTTCACATTGAGCTATATTATTTATGAAAATTAAATTAAATGTAAAACTAGAAAAATTAACCATAATATTTTAATTTTAAGATTCTTTACATAGTTTAACTTGTTGGCAAATAAAATTACACAATAAGATATATTTAGAAACATTTGTTAAAAAATAGATAAAAAGCAAAGTAATTCACGGGGTGTCTAATGTATGTGAAGTAGTAGTCATGGAAGACTCGGTCAGTTTCCGCTAAAATGGCATAAAACACCCCATGAAACACAGCATAGCATAAAGAACAGGTCTGGGGAGAAAGTTCAGTGGGTAAAATGCTTGTCACATTAACCATAAAGACCAAAGTTAGGATCCCCCCAAACCAGCGGTTAGGATCCCCCCAAACCAGCGGTTCTCAACCTTCCTAATGCTATGACCCTGTAATACTGTTTCTCACACTATGGTGGCCCACAACCATCAAATTATTTTTGTTGCTACTTAATAACTGTAATTTTGCTACTGTTGTAAATTGTAATGTAAATATCTGTATTTTCTGATGGTCTCAGGTTGCCCTGTGAAACTGTCATTTGACTCCCAAAAGGGCTGCAACCCACAGGTTGAGAACCACTGCCCAAAACTCATGTGAGGCCGAAGTCCAGCAGCCTCCTGTCCTAGTTTAGTTCTACTGCTGTGGTCAAGACCACAAGCAAGAGCAATTTGGGGAAGAAAGGGGTTATTTGGCTTACATGTCTCCATTACAGTCCAATACTAAGGGAAACCAAGGTAGGAACTCTAGCTGAGCAGGTCCCTGGAGGTGAAAACTGAAGCCGAGACCATGAAGAAATACGGCTTACTGGCTCACTCCCCAAGGCTTCGATCAGCCTCTTGGGTTTTTATATAACCCAGGACCACCTACCTGCCAAGGGTAGCACTCCCACAGTGTGGGGCCCTCCCATATCAATTATTAAGAAATAAAACACCCCACAGACTTGCCTACAGGCCAATCTCAATTAAAGTTTTCTCTTCCCAAGTAATTCTAGTTTGTAAGAAGTTGACAAAAAATAACCAGCACCTCCCTATAATTCCAGTTTGTGGGAGGGAGAAACAGGGATTCCTTGGGGAAGTTGGCTAGCCAGGATAGACAAAATGGTAAGCTCTGGGTTCAACATGAGACCCTGTCTCATCATATAAGGTGAAGAGCAATCAGAGAAGACACTGGACTTTAATCTCAGGTCTTAAAACACATGTACACATACATGCATATACATCCCTCACAAAAACACACATACACACATGCACAAATACCACACAAGCATGCAAACACATGCATTTTTTTTTTTGTGAAGAACAGCTTGAGTTCAGGGCAATGAATAAGAATTTTATTCTATAGAAGTTGAGAGATTAACTCAAGAGCAATATGACAGCTGAGATACATGCATGTTTTTATGTTGTAAAAACAAAAATCCCCCAAACAGCTTTTGGTGGCTGATGGTTGCCAGGAGAGAAGGACACATTTATCCATGTGCTAATAAATAACTCTACAGCCACATTCACACAAGCAACCCTAATTAAACCCAGTGGGACACACACACACACACACACACACACACACACACACACACACACACACACACACACACACACACGCACGCGCGCGCGACATTAAAGAGGAGGCTAATTAGGAAGAAGCAAGTAAGGAGTTAAGCAGGAGAGGGAGGGAATAAAACAAGGTAATGCTGGGAGGATAGGATTAAAATATATTACTTACATGTACAAAATTCTCAAAATAATAATAAGAACTTTGTGTTTAAAAAGATTAATAATGTTGAAAACTTATCTGAGACACAAAGACAACTACATTTGTAAAAAAAAAAAAAAAAGCTGTTATCTCATATGTGTCATATCTCATATATACACAAAGGTATCAAAAATACCCTTTGGGCATTGCTCAATGCACAGGACTTTCCTAAGTTCATCTAGAAGAACTGTAATAAGTTAACTATGAATCTGTTTTAACTGAGAAGAATAAGGTTCCAGTTAGAATAAACACTTCACTTTTCATCCTGTTATACAATTACTGGTATCTGGATCTCCCTGTCGAGATGTAAAATTTGTTTAACTTGTTCTACTGCTGGATTTCCCTACAAGGTTAATAAGAGCTAGATGAGAAAATCCTATGTAATGCTTCCAATAAATCAGGTTACAAAACAGCTGAGCATTTGTACAATTGGGTATTTTATATGAAAAAGTTATCATGTCCAGAGACATTTGAAAGGTCAATAACCCAGTCAGTCTCTGTCGTTGCTGTTTTTAGACAGATATATAATTAATTGACTGTCAGGTTTCACACACACACACACACACACACACACACACACACACACACACACACTCACACTCAGGCATCCATTCCTAGTCTAAGAAAGCAAACACAAGGTATTACTGATGTGTTCAGTTACATTTTGGCAATATCTATTCACCATCTTCACTGAGCAAGCATTGTTCTAAACACATGGACAAAATACTCTTAACATTACTGCTTGTGGAAACAAAAAAATAAGGAAGGTATGCATTCAGACTACTAAGTAATGATTCTGATGAAAAACTGACTTTGTAATTACTTGCTAACAAATCAATAGATTTAAATATGGATATGAAGAGCTCATACTGTGGAGTCAGGTGATGCAAAATTGATAGCATGAACCTTCTACTAAAAACTGTGGTCCCCGAGAAATGAACTGATGCTGCAAATTTACAAATCACAATTAAAGAATCCAATTTGCAGCATAATGTAAAAGTCCAGGCATGGTGGTACACACTTGTAATTTCAGGGCTGGGCATGCAGAATCCTTCAGGTAGATTCCTGAAGCTCACTAGCCAACCAGCATAGCCTACTTGGTGAGTCCCTGTCTCAAAACACTGGGTGCATAGTTCCTGAGAAATAACACTGGAAGCTGACCTATGGGCCTACATGAGGACAGGATTACTGTCTTACACACACACACACACACACACACACACACACACACACACACACAGGAAAATATATATGGAGAAAAAAATACCTGTGCACCTAGCAATAGCACATTGCAGAACATACAGTGAATACAACTATTAGTATATGCAAAATAATGTAATTCCATCCAGTGGAGACCAAGTTATACACACATTAAAGCCTTGCTCTGCACTTCATCCTCACCTTTCTTTACATTTTCTTTGTTCTTTGAAAGCCATCTTTCAAAGTTCATAGTTCAACAAATATTTATGGAGCACTTAATACATGCCAAGTATTTTTCCACATATTGGAATCCACGCATTGTTAAGACAAATGTGGTTCCTGCTCTTTGCAAGTTTCCAAGAAAGATCTGAAAGAACCAATATTTACTAAGTTCTAAAATACCCACCCCGCCCCTCACCCCGTGTCACACTGCATGTTGAGGATGCTTCAGGGATGAAGTTCACTAACGACACCTGGAAAGCCTGGATGCAAAGCAGAAGACATTCCAGTAGCTGCTATTGTTCCTTTTTTTCCAAAACAGACACTTCATAGAACCTAAGTTTCTTTGTACGAAACTCCAGAGACTTCAAAACTTCACATGACATAACTGATATTGAAAATACATAGTTTCAAAATGAACTAATGAACTTTCAAGACTTCCACCATCCAAATCCAAATCCAAGATACACTCTTCCTTGTACTGATGAGAAACAACCTTTTTGTATTTCCAAACCTAAACTAAACCGTTGAATCTCTAAGTGAATGAACGCCTATTTCCTGTTTCTTGATTCCCTTAAATTGGGGCAATATACCAACACCCAAGATGAGACCAGAGGACCGCTCCCACCCTCGCTATGCAGATCCCTCCATTCAATTCCCACGGACGCTACGCAAATCCCTGTCACTTCCGCCAAATTCCACCAGGGGGCGCACTATCAGCCGCG